AGCGCCTGTGCCCGGCAGCGCCGCGGCGGGCGGCGGGAAGCAGGTCCTGAGGGAGCCCGGGGCCGGGGGCCCCTTCGCCGCTGCCGGGCCTGCGCTGCCGGCGGCCATTTCCCCAGCGGTTCCTGAGGCACCGGGCCGGGGGGAAGGCGGTGTGCCCGGCCTGGGGCGGCGGGAGTTGTCAGGTGCTGCTTGGAACTGAACTCAATAAAATCGGTCATTTTTCTAAGCTTGGAAATCTGTTCTTTTTTTTGAATGTAAATTACGCTTTTGGTTTCTTAGATCATGTTGCCTTGGGAAATGAAGAGTGGAATCCATGGGAAGGGGATGAGAAAAATGAACTGCTTGCTTCTCAGCAAAGATATGAAGCTAATCTTAAGATGATAAAAAATGCAAGATCTCACCTAGAACAAACCAGGCTTAGAGTGCAGATTTGGGGCAAAGCAGCAATCGGTAAGCAGATGCAATCAGTGTCTATCACTTAACCTTTCTGATACAGTACTTTTTTCTGCTTTTTTTTAATGACTTAAATTTGTGGATATGATTAAATAATACGGGTATCTGTACATGCAGAGCGTGAAGGAAGTGGTATAGCTGTTACTTGAGATTTATGTTGATACCAATATGGGAGCAGTTAGACTCCAGCTTCTTTGTACCAATTCTTTCCAAGGCTGTTTTTCACATCTGTCAAAGAAAATGGCTCAAATGGCAGAGAAACAGTTACTTTTTGAATCCAATCTAGCTGACAGTACGTGGCCAAACCAGAGTATTTGTTTTTGTCACGTTTTCACTTTGTAAAATAAAGCATGACACAGTGAGAAACAAGGCATTTTCTATACTGCAGTACTACTGCCACTGATAGACTTTGAAATTCGTCTGGTCTTTAACTACTGCTGAAGACATACCATTGTTCTTATTTTAGATTTTTTGAAAACGTAAAATTTTCAGCTGCAGTTGAACTTTCATGTGGCATTGTAGAACACACTGGTATATTACATGGTGACGTGACGCAGTCTATCACAAAAATTGAATGTGTTTCACAAAAGCTTCAGGTAAGTATGCTTGTCCTTAAAATGCTGATTAATATTTGCTCATTTTTAAGTGGTATGTATACTGAAGAGAGATAATAACGGAAGTGGTAATGTGTTATATCATCATCTACTGATGCTTTGACAGCCAAAGAATCTTTTTTAATGCCCCAATGTGTGGAAAAATTTATCTTAACTAATTTGAAGTCATACGGAATTTGGGAAGCAATATTATATAAGAAGTTCTGACATTTCTTTCCCAAGTTCTTATGATGTTATGCTTTTTCATCTCCCAGAAATAATTTTATTTCCTAGGAGAGTAAAGTAGGCAAGATCCATGCATTCAAATTCTCCATTGTATCTTCATTTATAGGTCTTTACCTTTGGCAACATATTTTTGAAGAGCACCTTGAGCCAGCTAATGTGACTGCACAGTGGAGAGAAGGAAGCCAAAAAGCAGGAAAAACATATTTCAGGTACTAGCTGCATGGTGTTGACTTCAATTGTGTTAACTTTAGCAAACAATGCATTGGAAAGCTAAAGAACATGGTGATGTAGACTGGTGTATTATTTTGTCTATCTCAAAGTTGCAGTTATTTTAATATCTGTTGAAAATACTTTAGTTTTGTCATGTTTTGATAACTGTGGAGTTTGCACACAACTTCTCATTCAAAATTATCACAAAGAATGGTTTCGTATATTAATGGAAACACATACTTGATAAAACTCGCAAATTCTAGCCCAAACATATCGTTATTAAAAATAGAAAACTAGGGAGCAATTTCATCCGCTGTTTTATGAAGATTTGTGTATTTGAAAGAAATGTGGAAAGACTTACTAATGCTGAGAGGGAGAGCAGCCAAGAGACCTCAGAGGGGAGGGGGAATACAACCCTGATAAAAGTCTTAAGAACTGGGGTTTGGAGCTGACAGTTGATTGGAAGAAGCTTGGGGTTTTGAGGCAAGAAGATGTTTCCTGCTATTTGGTTTCTGTTGTACTCAGGGAAGAGGGACTTCATAATTCACTCATAAATTGTATTGTATCAGGATTGTATCAAAGCAATAATTTGTTTCTATTTAAAACAAAAACAATCTGTGAGACCTAGCATCTAGTTAATTTGCAAAGCAAAATTCTATATGTGAAGAAGATTACACTTGAAGCCTTGTTTGCTTTAAAAATGTATTTTGATCTGTGACCATGCATGTTTTAAAACTATTGTCAAACATCAATCTGAACTTTAACATCCTATTCAATACCATTTTTAAGGCTTTCTGTAAAGATACAGTGAAAGCTGAAGGATTTTTCATCTCTTTGACCAGTCTGCCTGTCCTACAACATTTAATTACTTGCACCAGGACCCATCTGTTTAGAAAGTTTTCTTTTAAAGCATAAATGACACTCTTAAGTGAATTTAACTTCTGAAAAATGTGATGCTTCAGTGTTTTCCTTGTGCAATAAGACAGGGTGTTCTAGATGAAATTTGCAGATAATGTTTGAAGTAAATATGTGATTGTGAATTGAAAGGGGTTTTTTGAGTGATCACAGAAGTTATCACTTTGAATTGTTTATCAAGGTATCTGGCTGTGTGCATGGTACTGGCCATAGAATCTTTTCAGTAATGCCTGCATCACATTCTGTCCTGGTTCAACTAGGATAGGGTCAAATTTTCCCCAGCAGAGAGAGAGGGGCATCTCCAGCCGGGTTATATACCATGCTGACGTCAGGTCCAGGGGCAGAGCTTTTTTACTTTCGCTTTTGGTTTTTGGGTGAGGGAGGGGCAACAGCAATGTGCTCTCCGGTCCCGGCAGGGCTTAAACCTGCATACATTCATAAGTGATTTTAAAACATGTGTTCTAGAAAGACACATAGACTTGATTTAAACATTGTAATTATTCAAGAGTCTTGTGTTACATCTAAGAAAATAGATGAAATGACATACTCTTGAAAAAAAGTAGCTGTATTCCTTGTCTGCAAATACAACCTGATCATTCAAAATTAAGGAATCAACTATGAATGGTGCTACTGCATCTTGGTAGTCTTCCTGACAGAGAAATAGAGCTTTCCATTCACGGATTTGGAGAGAGGATACAATACTTTATTTGAATAGAGAGCAGTGCCAGTAGTGTTATCTTGATGGGAGGAGACATTTCAGAATTAGAATCTCAGAAGCTTTAGAAATCAATTACATTCTACCAGATAGATTGTCTCCTTGGTAAGGACATGAGGATTTTTTTTCAAGCTCTTGCTTTTCACATTTATAATATGAAAATAATTTGCTGCATTTAATGAGTCTGTCACTTGACTGATTATGGTCATTTTCTCTCTGGTGTGCCTGTTTCAGATGAATAATAACCTCACATGGTTCCTTAGGGTAAGCACCTCTCAAAGAAAAACTTGTATAATAAGCATTTAAATATCTTATGTTTAGAGGAACTAGGGATAATAGAATCTTTATTTTAACTTAAATTTGGATGCTAGATCCCATAAAAATATAAAGTTTAAAGTTTGGTACCTACATAACAGAAGTTAAAATTTGACAGACTGGTAGGAACTTGTGCAAAGTATAGAAAATATGCAAATATAACTGTTATTTTAATCATTAGAATTCTGAAATTAAATAGCTGAAGTTTGACTTCTTACTGAAATTAGAAATGTTATTTTGTATTTTTATGTGAGGAAGCATTAGTACATGATTTTGGCTGCTCGCTGGTTTAGAAGATTGTCTAGAATTATTGACTATTGCCTGGCTGAAGTAAATTATCTCCATTTGATTACTAGATGAGGCTAGAGGGAACTAGCTGAGGTGACATGTTTGGAGAATATGTGCTGCTGTGCATTTTTTTTGTGATAAGTTTAATGATTGTTAAAACATAGAACTCTCATGAGTATTTTTAAAGACTATCAAACCTAAAGACACAAAAATGCCAAAATATCACTTGAACACAGTTGCATGAATAAGCCCAGTTTGTATATTTATGATGGAGAATACAGATATTTAATATAGATTTTGATGGCTTCAACTTTTTACCAAAGAAGTTACATAAAGAATACTAGAAATACCAACTTCTACATGAAATGCAGGAACATTTTTTTAAAAACATGGGTGAAACAACTGCACAGCTGTGGATTTTGGTGACGTGTTGGTACATTCGTACAAGAAGTAGGAGAGCAGAGTTTAGCACTTTTCTTGACCTGAAGCAATTCATATCCTTCTCTCCTGTCATCTAGGAGGATGTTGTAGAGCAGGGAGTTTCAAACTTGTTACCTCTTATCGGTAAGTTCGAACATTCATAAATTTCTGTTCCACTGAGAGTCACATCCTCTCTCTCTGTTTTAACATTCAGTGCTGCCTTCCCCCAGTCCCTGTTAGCCCCAGTTGTTCAGCAGTTCTTCAGTCTCATTCTCCTGTCCTTCTTTTACAAATTGTAACATCTTGATTCATGCCAGGATGAAACCATGTTGACAAAGTTAACCAGCAAAGATTTCTTTACCTGCTAGAGGATTCTGCCAAGGATAGCTTGTGTCAATTTAGTTTCCTTAATAGCCTTTGATGAAGCATTTTGAAAATCTAAATACACTGTGTCTACTGGATCCCCTTTATCTGTATTCTTACTGACCCACTCATAGGTCGCCATCATATCAGTGAGACAGGATTACTCATTTCCAGCATTGTTTATCCACATATGTGATCAGTGATCTTACCTTTCAATAAGATCTAGTGGTCTTACTATTTATTACAGACTCTTCCAAAGAGGGAGTTCATACTGACTGGTCTGCTCCAGAGTCTTCTCGAGTTGTTTTTGTAGGTGGGAGTGACACTGGTGTAGCCTTTCTCATCAATCATAGTGGCTCTTCTTAATGACAGCTGCACACCTTTGGCAGTAGTTCTGCAGTTTTGTGTTTGTGTTCTTTCAGAACTCTTAAGTGAATGCCATCCAGGTCCAAATCCTCCAGTCAGTATAATACTTGTGGTGTTTTACCTTCTGTTTCTTGCTGAAGAGAATGAGTTAGGTGCGGGCATCTTTTCTGCTATGGCTTTGTCATCCCATTTTAAATGCTTTTTAAACTGTTGTCCCCATGGCTCTGTAGCTTTTTGGTATACTTTCTATATGTTTTGGTTTTCATATATTAAAAGAGTCTTTACCTGTCAGCCAGAACATCCTTTTACAAGGTGTTTTTCAAGTTGCTTTTAGCTTTAATTTTCTGTTTGCATTTCATAAGCAGTATTTTATGAGCTTGGTGTCCTCCTTGTTTGGCCAGGCTTTTCATTGTTTTCAATGCTGAATTTTGCCCTTTGACAGTCTCCCTAACTTTTCTGTTAGGCCATACAGGTTTTGGGGGGACTGTTTCCTTTTTGGATTCAGGCACACAACATGCCTGGGCTTCTTAAACAGTGTTTTTGAACAGCCTACAAGTTCCTTGCAAGCTTCTTGTTGGGCTACTCCTTTAAGAGTCCTCATCTTGATTCTCTCATTTTTAAATAATTACTGCATATGGAATATCTCTACTTCTGGATGTTCTCTGCCATGCTAAACTTAATCATATTGCTATTACAGAATGGCTGTCTGACTAACACCTTTGGAATTAGGTCTGGAAGACCCAGTCTGGAATAGCTTCTTTTCATATGGGTTCTAAGACTAGTGAGGAAAAGCAAGGACTTATAGGAAGCAAGTCATTTATTGAGTCCAAAAAATGTAATCTCCTCATACCATCCTTGATCTAGCCTTCGTGTGGGTAGTGAAAATCTCTTACTACTACTGCCTTAATTTCAGTGTTTCTGTAACCTCCCTTACGTTTCCCAATCCCAACGGTGTTCTGACTGGGAGTTAATAGTACAACCTTAGCACTGTGTTTTTATTAAAGTATGGGGTTTCCATAGTGTTTCTTTTTTTCCCCACTGTAATTTTACGCTATTAAACTTTCTTACACACAGGTTATTGCATTCACACCTGCACATCCTGTTATTCCTATAAAGTTAAAAGCCTATCAAGACTTTCATTCATAAAAACTCTTCAGGTGCCTTTTAACAAGGTGGTCACTGGATTGACTATGTATGCTATTCACTGTTTTAGGCATTCTGATGCTCTGCTATAAATCCCAGTGATTCTTTTGTCTGTTAAACTGAGAGGAGTATTTTATCATTGTCTGTTAAACTTGGTTTTAAGTTTTAACCTGATTTACATTTAATCTATTAGAAGTCCTGATTCCAAGTCATGATTGCCATGAATCTTGGCTCCAAAATATCCCACTGCCACCAAGTGAACAGCATGTTGGTTTGACTCAGGTTTAGAATATGCTTGTCTAAGGTCAGTCTGCTTCAGATAAACTCATTGGAGTAGTTTATACAGCTCTTCCTCAGTAAGCCCACTTGAACTGAAACTGGCTGTCAATCTCAGCACTTCATGAGTTAAAACTCGTGGTTATTCTAAATTAGTTAAAACTCATGCTTATTCTAAATTAAATTTTGCTGGTAGCCAAAAACCTGTAGTAATGCAGCAGACCTAGAAAACTGACACTTAATTGACTCCTGGGGAAAAAAAAAATTGCTATTTTTTTCCTCTCCACTCTTTCCCAAACTGTGTAATCACCAACTGTTTGAGTTCAGTCAAAAGTCTGTTAACATAGCAGTTAACTGAAGAGCGGGACTGGCAAATGTTGGCTTGTTTCATTGAGGTTCACAAATGGTTGTCAGATACGTGTAAATGATTAATGATTTAATGATTTTGCTATATGATTGAAATTTCTGTGTTAAATACATTGTGAAAGATCTAGAAATGGAATTTTCTACCTACAATGTTTGTGCTCACTAGCTTCTATCAGAGCCTCAAGTCTGACCTGGGTCACACAAGCAACATAATTTTCCATTGAGATCAATACCTCTTGTGTTACAAATTCTACTCGGTATCAGATGACACAGTGTTTTTTTGGTCTAACCTAAAATTAGTATGCCAGACCAGCTAATTGTCCCTCATAATGATACCTGGTTTTAACTCTTACAGGTTTTTGGGAGGGCCCCTCTCTTGTTCTAATACAGTATTCATTGGTTATTACTGGTATTAAGAAAAAGTTTGAGCTTTAATGAACATCAAAGTACATCCTTTTTTGTAAAGTTTATTGATTTACCCATATTTTGATGTTTGAATATGGTAGTAGTTCTGATTTATTGACAAAATACCTTATTTTCATTTAAGTCTAAATCCCCTTTTTCCTCAATAAAGGCAAAGTCAGCTTTATTCCTGTGTTAAACTGTAGATACTAACAACAGAAATGGTTACAGTTGCACAGTTACTTTGCAGTGTATTGCATTCACTTTATTGAAACAAAAAAATTCTCTGGAGTACAGACTGTGTAGTAAGGATGTTAAGAGGATTATGGTCAGTAATTAAGGGTGTTTACTGTTTGTATTTTGGTTTTCACAGCTTCATCACTGGTCCATCTGTAGTTCCTGGCTACTTCTCAGTTGAAACTGAAAATGTTGTGCTAGTTCTGAATGGAAGAGAAAAAGCAAAGATCACTTACGCCACTCAGTGGTTGCATTACGCACAAACATTAATTCAGACTCGCAAAATACAGCATGTAGCGGTTGTGCTGCTTGGAAATGAGCAGTGCAGCAATGAATGGATTCAACCATACCTGAAAAGAAATGGAGGATTTGTAAATCTACTCTTTGTTACGTATGACTGTGCGTTAGTAAATGAAGAAGATGTTTTCCAATGGCCTTTAGGAGTGGCTACGTAAGTGCTATAAACACAAATTACAATTGAAACCTAATTGTTATGCATGAGGTATGGAAAACTATATCTGAATGTTACTGCTGATACCCAAAACAATTCTAGTAAGTAAACTGTAGAACATAATCCTATTAATGATTTTCTAAATGAAGGGTTGGAATCTTTGGGAACTACATTTAGCAATAAAAATGATAACAGGAAAAGAACGCTAGCATTTAGAGAGGTTTAAAAAAAGGAACCCGTGTCTGGGTTCTTTTGTTTTCTGTTGTTTATTGTTCCTTGAGTAGATTTGCTCCCGAGATTTATAATAAATGCTGATGTAATATGTACCAATTACATGAGAATTTAAAAGATATTTATGTAATTGAGTTCCAATAACTGCTTGTTTAGGAAAGGAAAGGGATGGTACTGGTGGTACGTTTTTTTAACCCCTGTTATGGCTCTCAAAAGGAAATTGTATGCCTCCCATTTCTAATTGGTATACTCCAGTATCACAGTAATATAACCTGGCTTAACCATTTTTGTTACACTCACTGCTCAAAATATTTATTTGGAGTAGATAAAGTTTTGGTCCAGTCAGATGCATTTTTACTCCTTACAGGGTTAATATTGTTTTAGCTACTTTTCATGGTAATATAAGAGTAAAATAATACAGAATTATTTTCATATTTTATGTTGAATTTGAATTCAATATCCTGTATTGAGCCAGTTGGCAAATGTATGGAGTTTTTATACATAGCTTGAACTTGCTCACGTGTCATTGAAAAACACTAAATTTTGATTCTTGATGGCATCAGAGAAATTGATGGCATTGTAAGTTCCTAAGCAAAAAGAACCTGAGTTTTGATATGCACAGATAAAGGTAATGGATGACAGAAAGCAACAACAGTTAAAACAATATACCAGAGTGCGAAGCTGTGTGGAGAAAGATAGATCAGGTATCAGTCAGAATGGGGGTTTTCAGCCCTTGACCACCAACGACTGTAAAAATTGTGATTAAAGGTATGCAAATGTGCCAAATTTTCAAGTGAAGAGGGAAAATAAAGGTGTTGAATCCTCCAGAAATACTTGGCATGAAGAAAAAAAAAGTTTTCTGAAAGTTAGTTAACATTCATTACACAGGAGGAGAACAAGGAAAGGCCTCTTTCATCAAAATTTGGGAAGGTGAAGAAATTGAATATGTCTTCAGAACTATTAAAGGCAATGGAGAAATCACTGAAATGAAGTAGAGACTGCCTTTGAAACCAGTTAAGAATTGGGATCAGGGTATAGTTTTTCTTACAAAAAAGAAACAACAGGGAAGTATAACAGTGATTCATCAAAAATAGTGACATCAGAAGCAATATGTGTGTTAATTTGAGAATGCAAAGGAGCAGAAACTTTTTTAATATTCATCTATTCCAGAAAAAGTACTGACTTTATGTAATGAGAAAGTTAGTGTCAGCTCTTCAGCTGAAGCAGTGTTTCACTGGTGAGTAAAATAAGTGATGTAAGATTTGAGGAATCTGTCAAAAAAAGAAAAATGCCTGATGTGATGAAAACATGTCTAAAAGGATAGCATACAGCTTACATTAGATCCCAGAATGTCAAACTGGTTTTGTTGAGTCCAAAAAGGCAAGTTAAAATAGCTTGTATGACAAGCTTATTTAGTAACCAGAAGGTTAGATTAATGAAGTCCACCCAGATCAAAGTGAGATTTTCCTTTAAGAGATTACCAGTGATATTTTCAGTTAAGTGTGCGCAGAGGTTAACGTAACTGAGACTTAAACTCCATAGTTACCATTAGCCTGGCCATTTCAGTCAAAACTAGTGTTGCATCAAGAACAGATGCTTTTGAAAAAGCATGTGTCTGAATGACGTTTTGTAACATGCACACATAATATTTCTGATGTTGAAAGAAGACATAAGTGTTCTGGAAAGTCTCTGAGAGAGTGGAGGGGCTCAGTGGAGAGAGTAAAGGGAATAAAACTCAACTTTTAGGACAGGAGTTGCACTGGTTTGCTTTTGGGTCTGTCTGTATTTATAGATTGGCAACAAATAGGTGGCTTTAGTCTTAGAATCTCCTGCAGTAAAGGTGAAATGGTGCAAAATGTTTTTTCTTCAACATAAAGCATACAGCCTAACGTATACATTGTTTTTACAGGTACAGAAATTTTCCAGTTGTAGAACCCAGCTGGTCAATGCTACGTGATCCAAGATCATATATATGTAATTTCTTAGGAACAGTTTATAAGAACTCTTCTAGAGAGGCTCTAATGGAAATTCTGAAGCAGGATGGGCTTGACAAACTTTGCTGGATTGCAGCCAGAGAACAGTAAGACTTTGATTTACTTCATGAAAATACTCGGACTTTTTTGCCTGGCTCATTATTACCAATCCTTTCTTGAGTGTTAAAACTTACTAGAAATAAAGGTACCCAGTCATAATTAAAACAGAGAACATTGCTGATACTCTTTGTATAGGTCATCATAATGTAATGGACTTTCTGTTGCTATATTTTACATAAAGCATATTTTTAAATACATAAAAAAAATGTCCTATGTATACTACATATAAAGACCATCTTTTTTTTTCTTACATACGTTTGATTATGGTGGGTGAAGAAATATTTGTCGTGCACTTTGTGTGTATTAATGTCTTAGTAGAAGAAAAAGCTGTGTTTTGTTGGGTTCCATATAAGAGTGGCTTTAATCTGTACAGTGTGGCACTTATTTTAAGTAAGTAGAACAGATCTTTTGACCAACAGTAATAGGATTCTGTTTGTATTTCTAATTTTTCCAAGCAACACTTATAAAATGTTTGATAGCAGACACAGCAGTGCTTAGGAAGACCTCAGCTACCCCGATGAATCTCAAGAGACAGATTGTATCTGTGACACAAACTCTTATTTCACAGACGTTCAGAGGCACTTCAGGCAGATGGATTCAGGTTAACGGATTGTTTTACATCCTAACTTTTGAAGAGACAACCTCTACTGTTTTAAAGTATTTGAGGCCAGAAACTTCATTTAAAAGTCCATCAAGTGTCTCCCTGTATGTCTGTTTCTGAACTGTGCTGTGAAGTAAATTGACGTATGCATCATTCAAGTCATGCAAAAGATGTAAAATTGTGTTTCAGTTTGCCTCTTACACTTCTAAGTATTAATAATTTCCTAAAGGGACCATATCTAAAAAGTGTTACAATCTAATTTTAATAGTGACATTGTCAATACATTTTTAGAAGACTTGTTTAAGAACAGTTAGGACTAAAAGTAAAAGCCTATTGATTATGTGTGTAATATAAAATTCTTGTATTTTCAGTTTTATAAATAATTGAAATTAAAGCATATTTCTACTTTTTCATTGCAGTGCCTGTGAGAAGAATGTTAATTTTGAACCCCTTTACTTTCGTAGGTGGCAGCCTCAAGAGACAAATGAAAGTTTCAAAAACTATCAAGATGCCTTGCTGCAGAGTGATTTGACGTTGTGCCCAGTGGGAATAAATACAGAATGCTATAGAATTTATGAAGCTTGTTCATATGGATCTCTGCCTGTTATAGAAGATGTAATGACACCGGGTGATTGTGGAAATTCATCAGTGTACAACAGTGCTCCATTACAATTATTAAAAACCATGGGGGCTCCATTTATCTTTATTAAAAACTGGAAAGAGCTTCCTGCTCTTCTAGAGAAAGAAAAAAAAATGAGTTTACAAGAAAAGATTCAAAGGAGAAAAAAGCTTATAGAATGGTATCGAAACTTCAAAGCATGGATGAGACAGAAGTTCATTAATATTTTGGAAAATTCATTTCTGCCCAGTGATAAAGGATAAATTGTCCCTTTTGAAAATCTAGAATAGATTGAAAGCTTAATTTCCATTAACTTTCGGATGAAGCTTTTATACAAATCTCATAGGGCAGGTGCATTCCTTTTGAAGTCAACAGAATTGCGCTAGCTTGGCCAAGAGCTATGTTTGGCTCTCCATCCTTAGCAATTTTCAGAGAGGTTGTTGACTTATCAGGATGGTAGTTTTTAAGGATGACAACAATTTTATGACTATTTTTACCATTTCCATATTGGTGTGACCTGATAAATTTTTTTGTCGGAGAGTGTCTTTGAACATGTGGACTTGTTGAAATCCAACATAAGAACAACAGTTGTGCTTGAAGAAGAGAGAAGAATGAAATCTGTATGGTACAGAGTAATTTATTATGTAGATTAAAGAAGAAAAGTATGATTATAGCCAGAATGCCAGGTTTAGCACAGTCATTAAGATATATCCTGGTAAGTGCTTTTTTTGAAAATTAACCATTTCCTTGACAGACATTTCATTTCCAAGGAAGTGGTCATAAAGCTAATTAAACACTGTGGAATAAAAATGTGTATTTCAAAGTAAAAATGGAGGGCTCTTTCTTTCGTAGCAGTGTGTTTCTTCTTTAATGTCAGATATCGAAGTTTCCTTCTACCATTTCCATTTAGTCTTGGGACATAACTTTTTGAAGTGCCACTGAGCAGCATTCATTACCTGCAGTTACAGCTGCACATTCTGAACATCAGGCCTTAAACATGAATCTGTAGCTTATCTGATTTCTCAAAATCTGCTGAAACTCATCAGCTCCAAAAGATGCAGAAGTATAATATTGCATGTTTGTGATACTACATGTGCAACAAAGTTTAAACAGTTTTTGTTAAATGTAGCCAAAGGGATCTGCTACTGTCCTTGTACACCAGAAATCAGTGTGTGCTATTATCTCCGGTGTGTTCAGCTGAGCAGGGTTACTGCATACACAGCATTGGTGTCTTTGAATATCAGCATGCCATGTGGGTTCATTCTCATGCAGGAATTTAAAAGCCAGTGCAACTGTACTGCCAAGTAATACTAATTTGTGTAAGGATACTATCCATTTCTGGAGTATGTATCATGCAAGAGCGTTTCTGTGGGGCGTTTTTTTCAGTTTTCTTGCATCCCTTCTTTTTAAAAAACCCAAAACCAAACCAAAACACAAAAAAAACCCCAAAAACATATGAAAACACTGGAATTTAGTTTGCAAACAGTAGATGATATTGCTGGTGGATGCTCTAGATTTGGAATAAGGTATGTTTCAGAAAACCTGGATTTTTAGGAGCTTGCATTCCAATGCCTAGAAATTGCTCTTAGAAAACAATCTAAATCCAAATAATTTAATTTTCTGTCTAACATGAATTTTCTGTGACATCATCCACCTACTTTATCTGAAGCATCATACAGTTGCAATACAATGCAAACATACTTGTCCAGCTGAGACTGGAAGTACAGCTGTCACAACTCAGCATCAAATTGATGAGCCTTACTTAGAGGTGAACCTTGCTAGTCACATTTACAATAAATTTCCATACTGAGGATCTAAAGTATCCATCAGCACAGTAGTACACAACACTTGGAGGGTTAGAGGAAGTTCAAGTATCTGTAGTAGTGTGGTGTCATTGCTGTAATTCCCCTCTAGTAGAGTCTTTATACACAGGCTACAAATCTGTAGAGCAATGATCGTGAGCAGTGTTTCTCAACCCATAGTCAGCAGATCCCTCAGCACCCCTGCAGGATTTCAGGGAACTGCAAAAAACAGCTGAGTCTTTACCAGTCAGCCTAGATTCTTATACGAGAGGCTGCAGCTCCCAAAAAATTTTAATAGTGTGCAAGTCAAAGTCTGAAAAACAGTTCAGTGTGTTACCTGATCGTCAGTAGAAGAAACATGCTGCTATTCATTTGTCCATTTCTAAGTAAATGTATGAATATTTCCAAACTCGTGGCAATAATATCTTAAGGGAGGCCAAGACATGCACTGAAGTTTTATCAGAATTTCACATTGCAGCTCTTTGCTTGCTCTTGGAGTTTAGAGGGAAATAATTTGCATTTTATCTATATTTAACCAATTCTTGACACTTTAATTTCACCTGCTTCAGTCCAAAAGGAATTGTCACTAGAAGATTTTTTCTGTGTTCTATTTTCTAGTGCTTATGGAGCAAAGACTGCAAAACATCTTTGTTAAGGAAGGGTTCCTAACACATTAGACAGGTTGCTAGTATTTTAATTATTTCCTTGTTCCACTGTCCAGTATGTGGGAGAGATTGTAGTTCTCCTGTTTTTACTTCCTAATCTTTTCTCATTTGGAAAAATTGTGCCCTATTTGGATCCAGAGATGAACAAGACAACAAAAGGAACCTTGGCAAAAAAAGGCATGAGACTGAGGGAAGAAAGACAGTGAGGGGTGCAAGAAATCAGAGAGGAGGTCTTATCAGGGGTAGAGGAAACTGGTTTAAAAGAAGGGAAGCAGTTAAGCCACTGGCAAAAAAGAGTTTATCCCCTGCATGACACATCCAGGCAGGAGTAGTTAGTGTCTACTGTCAGTGAGAATTTGAAGAATCAATTTATTTGTTTAATACTGAGAGGAGAATACATGCTCTGTTTTTGTGGTTAGCCCTCTGGTTTGAGACTGGGATGCCGAAGTACAACTTTCCAGAACACAGAACAAGGACTTGAGGGCTCTTATAACTGCACATGCTGTGTCTGTCGGAGAGGGAGTTGTGCATAGAACCAAGCCTGTCTTGAGTCAAGAATGCCAACTGTAACATCAGATGTTATACAGATTGCTAATTATGCAGTATTTTGCATCATACTTAGTTTTGTATGTGGAATATATAACTACTAGTTTCATTATCAGAGGTATTTCCTGCTGATGAAGACTTTGCAGATTAAACTGGATTGCCTTGCTGAAAGAAGAAACATCTGGCTTCTCACAGTGTAGTGTAACTCTATATCTCCTACATATTTCTGAACCATTAAGAGTGGCTGTGAACACATGGTGTAAACTGTTTAAAAGATCAACTTCTAGAGAGCAATATGTTTCCAAAGAAATGTAACCAGTCTTTATAACTGTTGGTGATCCTGTAGATAAGGAAGTGGCTTGCAAAGGATCCAGCTGCCAGTTGCTTACCATTCTTGGACATTTCAGTTGTGATAGTGTATTTCAATAGGTTATTTTAGATTTAAAAATTTTTAGATACTGTCTTTCAATGAGTGAAACTTATACAAGGAGTGATAGAACTCGGAGTTTTGTAGACGCCTTTCTCACAGCAGTTAGTAAGTATGAATTAGGATTGCTATGTTCTGGAATCACCAATTTCTCTCTTGGCTTATTGCCCTCACCAAAACACTTGCAAAACCACAGAAATAAAATCCTGTTACTTCTTGGCAAACTTTGCATGTTAATAATAACCTCTAAGAGCTGGACAAGCTCAGAAGCAGCTTTCATGCTATAGAGTCCTAAAATATTTCCAGGAATTCTTCCTACTGGGATGGGAGAATTGAATGACGGTTGAACAAGATTATGCTTATTTTGGCATGTTCATATTGACTGACGTTGGGAGACACAAAAGTATTTCAAATGCAATTCCAACCGTGCCCTAAGAACTGTCGCTTCCAAGAAAATTGCTGCCATAATGCATGTTGGGACTGCTATCTTCTGGTAGTTAAAAAGGAGTTTAATACTTATGCAGTGTTGTGAATCCTACACAGAGGATGTGATGAATCAGTCAAAACGAAAAAGCTGACCTGATGAAAATGTGCCTGAAAGGATGACGCATAATTTACATTGGATCCCAGGACTTTGTGGTTTGGGGTTTTTTTCTTTCTGAGTCCACAAAGATAAGTTAAATAGTTTGTACAATAAGCCCTTCTGGGATCAGTCCAAGGTGATGCTATGAAAACCATGCTGTGCAGCGAAAGGGGCAGTGGTTCTAAACTCTTCTCATCCCAGCAGTTTGTGCAGTTACAAAGAACTGCATAGATTTCTTACTAATTACCAGTCCATAAATCATGACTGATAATCCTCTTGATAAAGAAACAGCTTGCAAAAGGTGACTTACCAAATGATACTTAAACTCTTTGGGCAAATTAAATTTCAGGATTTCTTCAGTGTCTCCTGAACAAGAACACCAGTATCGGGGTATGTATTTATATCTTGTAAGTATAAATTCTTTTCACATCTTTACTACTAATCTGAGCATGGAAGACTGCTTTGAGTGTTAAAATCTCTCCATGTGACTCTAGTTTTAAAGAATGTAAAAGCTGAAAATGGACTAGAGGTGAAATCTAAGGGCTAAGAGGTGTGCTAATGAGAAAAAGATGAATGCGTATGTACATTTCTGATGTATTTAATTCAAAGAGTTTAAGAGAAAATGCATCTGAGAACTGAAACTACCCAGCAGTAAAATTGTAAGCCGAAGAGCTTCAAAACAGGCTCTGTAACGTAAGTCACCTAGGGTCTGGTGTTTGTGTGTGGCTAGTATTGTAAGTGTCTCTGGTTCAAGATCCCATAAAGAGGCCTCAGTCTTTAGAAAAAACATCTACACATTTTGAAAATCAAGAACTTTTTAAGATTTCTCTAGTGCAGTACCCAAAAGTCACTGTCCAGTTTTGAGAGGCTGGCCTCACAGACAGGTATTTGTACAGGAACATCACTTGCCTCCTAGCTGTGTTGAATGCCCTGGCAGCACATGCTTTGCTATTCACATTTTCTTCCCTGAACACCCTTGGGACCTGAGTGCAACTCAGTGAACACTGCTATATCAGAATACAAGACATTTCTGATCCAGTCCCACAACACAGATGTGTTTTGTCAAGCATGCCATGAAATAACGTGACTCATTCTCTCAGCCAGTGTTACAGCAGCTTAATCATAGAAGGGTAGTTTTAGGTAAGTATCCTCAAATTGCTTCTGTGTTGATATTTTGCACAGTACTGTCTGACAGTGCAAAATTTCTGGTTTTCAGGTGACAGCATTCCTATGGTTTTAATTTTTTTCATCTTCAGGAATATGTCATTTGTAGTTTGAGCTGCATTTTTCAAACAGAAGTATTATACACAGTTTCCACTAAATGTGTATTTTCAGAAGATATGAGATGCAAAATAAATGCATCGAACAGAAATGAGTCATTCACTAAGATCCAGATGAAGACACAGCCCATTCAAAGACAGCAAGTTGTGCAGGTGGCCACAAATAAAGAAAAACGAATCTCTGAATGACTGAAAATTAGCCTGATCCTTTCAGATGCAGTTATTCAAACAGCATAAATCTGTTAAATGTCATATTTTGAAGTCTGCTATATCAAAAGAGTTTTGTTCAGGGCCCAAAATGAAAGGTTTCTACAGAAGTGATTTCTTTCTTTGCGTGTTTTTCCCTCTGCAATGGAATTCTTTTCTGAAGAGTAAAGGTGGTCCCTAGCCATGAGCAGGGATCCACCTTAAGTAATGTTTACATAAGGAGATGCTGAAACATCTTCCTGTGTGGCTGCTTATTTACTACTTTTTAGTATTTGTGACAGCTCTTGTCAGCAGTGAGGCTACCAAGATGCTAGAT